GAGCTAATCCTGTTGATCTTACATCTTATCTGAAAATGGATTGGGTGCTTTCTTAAACAACATTACATCATGATTATCATTTTTTTAATTGTATGCAATTTTAGTAAATAGTAAACTATTATTAAGGCACTTCAAAATTCATACTTTTTAGGTACTTAAAAAGTATGCCTACATATTACATTAAACACACTTTAAAGGTGTCTATAAGACATACTTCTGCATATGTATTAATTAGTTTTATTTTGTAATCGGGTTGCTGCGTGTTGCAGACTTCTGCCCAGGTCCCTCTTGAAAATGAGATCTGGATCTCAATGGGGTTCATCCGGTTAAATAAAGAAAACAAATAAAAAGGCATATTTTATTAGCCTAAAATTTACACTGAGATGTAATTTAAAACATAGTGAAATTAATAATTTAAAGTAGTGTTAAGTGAATTTAAAAAAATTCTATTTTGAGCATATATTTTAAAATATACACAAAATATATCTTAAATATACATGAGCAAGTGTATATTTACACTTGGGCAAATATATATTTTGTTCACAGAAAGTATACTTTTATTTAACATATTTATTAAAAGTGTATTTTGGTACAATTATGTCTAATTTCGAAATTGGTACAAGTATACTTTTAGTATACTTCAGATAGATTTATAGGTTGTACACTTAATACTTAGTATACTTAAAATGTACCTTCACAAATATAAGTATGTTTGAAATATACTAAAGCATACTTTTTTTTCACCTGGGTGCACTCTATGATTCAAAAAAAAATATTTTAGGTTATCTTTGCTGTTAGAACACTTTAGCATAATGTGAGAAAAATTTGGAGTCAACTTTGTTTTGAACAAAAAACAGTTTTCATATCAGACCAGAAACAAAACATTTCTAGATATGCAGTGAATGTAGCTTTGTCACTCACAGCCCATCAGTCGCTTTTTATACCCAACTGGCAGGAACAAAGGAGAAGGGCAGCCTGGCAGAGACGCAAGATGCAGTCAGGAGCTTTTTGGGCCACCTGCATCCCCAGGGCATTTTATTTGGGGCATCCTGGACCTCCAGGACTTTCATTTTTTTCACTTTGGAAAGTATTGACACTCCCTGAGCCGTCAACCCTGCACCATTGATTTGAGCTTCCCCTTGACCAAAGCTGCTCCATAGTATTGATGTGATTAATTAAAAAGAAAATGGTTTTTAGTACGGCTCGCTGCACAGACAGAGTCAGCAGCGGTGAGACACGGGGGAGGGGTTGTTGCACGCATTGATCCATTTAACCACATACACACTGACAGGCACTCTACAGAGACAACAGGGAAGTGTATGAAAAACATTAACCCACAATGCACTGCAGAGTTTTGACAGATTCCTGCTCTAGGGCTGCTGAATTTATGAGCCATTACTCCTGCCAGTCCGATATCTACTTGGTGCATTATGTTCCATGTCATGTGTCATTAGCTATATAGTGACTGACATCCATTGAGGAAGTCAATGCTGACTCTGGACAGCTGAGATACTTCAGTGTGTCCTAGTTGGGCTGGGATGGGGCCACACTTTATTATTTACTTGTGCATCCTCTTGGGTTTATCCCTGCAGTTATCAGAGGACAATAGTACATCCTCCAAACTATCACAGTCAACATTATATCCTGCGCTAAGACCTGGCTGTCTCCTTTTCATTTTTCAGAACACAGTGACCTTTTATAACTTCATTGGAGAGACTGTATATGTTCTGTTTAGAAGGTAGCATAAACGGTAATTTAAATATATTTAGATTTCATGTTTGTATAACAGTTTTTGGAATAAAATGTTCCAACTCATCACGTTTGCAAATTAAAAAAGAATATTAATGGGAGCTGAAGGCAATTGAAAAGCAAAGACTGAACTGAAATTTTGGAGGCTGGTTGAATAGGCAACATATTAAATCTGTAAAAAATTTTCTTCAGAGATTTACATACATAAATGAAAACAAGGATTATGTTGTGTACTGATATTCACAACATT